TTTCTGACACCAAAACAGTTTGATTGAAAGGAATTGTCATCTTTCGCCCCTTGCTCAACAAAGTCCAAACAATAATTCTGTTTTAGCAGTTCAGTCAGTAACACCCCCTACCCTTATTTTCGAAGAAAAACAAAACAAACAAACAAACAAACAAACAAACAAACAAACAGGAAAAGCTGAAACAAAGACCAACGCAACGCCACAAACAAACACACCCACACACTAGCTTTTACATAATGTTCATTGACACCGCCTATTCTGCTCACTGGGCAGCACCCGAAGACGCGCTGTTTGGGCAGTTTAAAAAAAAAGCATGGCTTCGTTATCATAACGCACCATATATTTTTTTCAATTCTGTTATATTTATCTAAAATTTTAAAAGTCAGGCAACGTACTATGAAATGTGCAAATTCATGTTTCTGATTTGAGTTCAATGGTTTGAAAAAAAGGCGGCCACATTACTGGTACCTCTATTATTATTATACTTCTGGTAGGACATATTATATATCTGCTTTGTCCTTACAGAGCAAACGAGATACAACTATTGCCAAAGACAGACTCGGGTAAAAATCAAACTGACTCCCCCCTCCCCCCTTAATTATTACGAGATGGCCTCATCTTTAATACAATGGTCATAAAACAATGTTTCTTTTTTTCTTGAGTAAAGAGAAGAACATCAGTACAATAACAGTAACAGTCATTTAGCTCAGGGGAAAATTAGGACAGACACATACGCGCTTATAAACAGCAGAGACAAAGAAAAAACAGGCTAATCCACAAGTAGAGCCTCTCCAGCACCAGATGGACCAAAATGAATGCGTCAACAGATGTATATGTTATAGAAAAAACAACAACAACCCCCCCCCCCACAACTGCCCCCCTCTCCCAAAGCCCAAACAAACAACAAGAGCAAACAAACAACAAGACAAGAACCCAGCAAAAGCAAACAAAGAACAATATTACAAAAAACCCAAACCCCGTCCATTATCAATGTTGAAAGGAACAGCAGATGTAAAAACGAGAACCGTTTCTTTACTTCTTTTCTTCTTTTCTTCTTTTCTCCTTTCTTTCTTTAAAAAAAAAAAAGAAGAAAACTATGCTAAAAGACAAAGCCATTTTTGGAGCACATTGACCACAGCGATATCGGAGAGCTCAAAATGGCCGTTCAAGTCTTCTGTTGGACATAAGCTGTGGCAAATTCTCCTATCTTAAAGAGAGTCTATGATTTTTCCATACTTAACACCTCTTTGATGAAAATAACGATCTAGGCGGCGGGCTGCCTCGCTCCCCCTTTGTGGATCAACCCGGGGAGGGAGGGACGGGTACTGTTTCCCAGCAGAAAGACGGATGGAGCTTTTGTTCGATACCATAGACTTTCACTGGCGGGAATTTAAGAGCTTTATGCTGAACTTTCCAAAGCCAGAGAGAGATAGAGAGATAGATAGATAGATAGATAGAGAGCGACAGAGAGAGAGAGAGAGCGACACAGAGAGAGAGAGAGACAGACAGAGAGAGAGAGAGA